TCTTCCAGAGTGGGAGTACAGATGCAGACACAGCCGGATTCATGCATACTAAGCATGCACAGTTAGTGCAGGACAAGCAAGAGATGGCAAAATAACACGCATATAGAAAACTCTTAACTGTTCACAGACCCCAAGCTCCAAAGCAGGCACTACCTTCTTGCTAAAAATTTATTTTATCGAAGCCATTTATACTCCTGTAGACTTGAGAATTAATGAAGAAAGGGAACAGCGAGGGGATGGGTCCAATAAAACAGAAACATACGCCACAGTAAGGAATGAGAAGAAAGGTTATTTAAGGCCCTTAAAAGGACATGGTCAACCCCCCAGGCCTAAAATGTCCTGTTTGAATTAACATAGTGCTTTAATTAAAAACTAAGTAGAGAATTCTACTTAATTTGATTTTCAATTCAAGCCCTGCATCCGTCCATGGCTAGTGGCCAATTTCCGCATCTAAGTACAATATGCAAGGAGCTGTTTTAAAATCAACTGCCCAGGGGAATCCACAGCAGTATGGTGGGCCATGTGCCATCCAGGGAATACACCAGACTTAGATGCAGTAAAACAGCACCAGGAGGGTTGCCATGGGGGAAAGGAAATTTAACCTAGCCACACTGCAAGTTCATCAGGACTCTGATCCCCGAGCCGCATTTACCACTGGAGATGTTTCTAACCTCTCCCCAGTGTGCATCACAAACTGATCTGTCAAACATCCTCAATAAGCAAACATCTTTATGACAGTATACTTGAATATATATATGCTTGTTAGCTAACTCTGTTAAACACCTCACACACACGGTTAGTGATAACATTAACTGCAATAAACCAACGAAGTTCATGATCCCAATATGGCTTACAGTGCTGTGTGAAGAGCTACATATCCTGAGAAACACTACCTGGAATCTGCACAAGAGTGCACTAAATGGTACTACTTTACTCAAAGACACAATGACACATTCAAATACATTTCTTATACATTTAGATCTAACTATACAAAGTAACTCTTGCAACTGTCATGTAACTTATTTTAAAACTGAAAAACATGAGTCTTTTAAAATAAAATACTTTCATCAATTAAGTTTGAAGCGTCCTAAGATATTTCATTTCTCCTTTGGTGGAGAATGCACCTTATCTTCAAGAAAGTTTTTTTCCTAGGTTTTTTCCTAAGTTTTTTTTCTAAGTCACCTTTAATGCTGAACTACTTTGTTCTGCTTTAGTCTCTGCCATTTCAAATGTGAAAGTGATTTGACTGAGATAATAAAATGTGAATATTTGAGAGCCAGCTGTTCTCTATCTGGTTGCTTTCTGAATCCAATATAACATTAATATCACAAATAACATTAGTAAGTAATAAGAAAACAGTAATCAAATGCATTTACAGACTACCACAAGGATAATGATAGTGTAATAACAGCTGATATTTACTGAAGTCCTGGGCTGTGTGCTTTACATGAATAATCTCAACTCATTAAATCATCAAATAATACAAAAAAGATAAAGGTCATTACTATAATCATTTTACAAAAGAAAATCTGAGATTTCCATGAAGCAACTTGCCCAGCAGTTCAACTAAGAAGCCAGATTTATCTGCCTCTGTACTGCAGCCTGTATGCCCTGGTGCCTTCTCCCTAGCACACCGGCACCCAGAGCCCACTTTACAGCTATGTCTCCTCACTGGCCTCTCCCTCCTTCACCAGCATTAAAATATGAGACCTAACATTGCTTTCCATGGTCCCTAGTCATTCCCTGTCAGTCCAGTGGCAGCCAAGCTGGACTTGGCCTCGGTGCCCTCTTTTTGAATCCTTTTTTGAGTCTGGGGATTACCTGGTTTAATAACGATACCTATGTTATACAAACATTCCATACCACAGTCCATCTGAGTTCATGAAAGGCACTAACATGGTCAAAGATGTGCTTTGAAAAGAATATGCTTTCAATTGTGAATGGAAAGATAGGAATTTTTTTTTAAATTAGAGGAAGAACTATATAAGTATAGATGTGAAATTTCTCCAACTACCTCTTGGTTCCTTATTTAGCTGGTTTTCTCTTTGACCTTCACTTTATGAAGAGCTAAGCAACATATCACTAGGCTTTTTCTCATATTCTTTAAGTCCTCAAGACTTGCTAATTCTGCTTCACCAGTTCACAAGAAGGCTCAGTTCATAAGAAGAGTGGAGGCGAAGGATGGTACACAATCTTCACAAGCATAAATTAAGCAGCTATCTTGTGATAGCAAACTTCCAAAGATGAATACACATTTAAACTTCGCTGTTCTTTGCGTCTGGCAATAGTACACAAGAGGCAGAAGTAGGAAGAGGAGGAACTGTACATGTCTAGGCAAACATCGCCTGGCAGTTTTAGTGACAAGTGTCACCACGTTCTGTTTAGCAGAGCTGGATGTATGACTGACTGGCTGCCAAGGCACAGGGCTAGGCACTGTGAAACAAGTACTCTTTGGCACTGTCATCCTTATGAGACATAAAGAAGCTCTAAAATGTGGGCTAACCTCTACACCTAAATTAAAGAGTAGCTGTACAAATCCTTTTTAGAAAATCTTTTGCCAGTCCCATGTTGTTTGTAACATAAAATCCAAACCACCTGATAGAGGAAAGAGGGTTCAGGGATCTGACAATGAGGACACCCTCACTGGTCACCACCCCAGTTGTGTCCTGGCCACTCCCCCAACTAGATCCAAACTCCAAGCCCTGGCTGGATCCTGGAATGCCACACTCTGGCAAATCCTACAACCCTCAAATCCCAGTTCAGTGTAGGTTGCCCTCCTCCAGCAGTCTGTCCCGAGTCCCCATCAGATGGGGACAGCTACTTCCTTCAGTGTTTTCCTCAGCGTCCATTATATAATCACCCACTACTCTGCACCCAATGCTTTCCACCTCTGATGTCTCCTGTATCGGTCACATGAAGGCTACAGTCCTATTACTTCTTCTATGTCCTTGGAAAGCTCATGTAATAGCAAACTTCTGGCAGTTAGGATTACTTAGTAAAGCCCTATTACGTGTGAATGCACACACCTCAAAAGCCCTGGCTCCAAAATTCTACAGAAGCCACCACTGCCAGTGTCTCCAATGGCCTCTCCTCTTCTGGCTGTTCATTGTTTCTCATCCATCTTTTACTCTGAGTAATTTACTGTCCATTCTGCCAGAAGTCCTCTGTCCTCTGGCTTCTAGGAGATTCCTTGCAGCATAAACTGTCCTCCTGTCCGCTCTGCCCACACCCACTGCTGGGCTTCTCATCTTCCTTGCTGGCTCTGTGTGTGTCCTCAGAATGGTAAAAGGTAAAAGAATGGCCCTGCACTTTGGTTTAGTTCTAGTATTTTACACTTGTGGTCCTGAGACAATCCAACACTATTTAATGCCTCTACATCTTAGAACAAAAACCCTTCAGCAAGAATCCTTTATTGTGCAGTGTATCCAAGAAACTATAAATAGTGACACACACCTTTTTTTTCTTTTATCATACAGGGAAATCGAAAGATTGAACCTAGGCCGTTGGGCCTACTAGGCAAGTGCTCTACCATGAGCTACACGCCTCGCCTCGCCTCGCCTCACGTTGCTTTGCTTTGCTTTGTTTTGTGGAGACAGGGTCTCACTAAGTGGTCACAGTGGCCTCACACTTGTAATCCTCCTGCCTCAGTGCTAGTGTTATAAGCGTGCAGCACCACACCCAGCTTGAAACAGCTTTCTAAATCGAAACCATACAATTCTTTCTTCATGTTGTGTAATTTCCATTTAATTATAAGAATACATTAGGATAAGGTGGTCTCAGTGCTACACACCTATAATCCCAGTCAAAAATCTCAAGATGAATCTATAGAAGCAACACTTTAAGCATCACCTCTCAAAGATTTTTTCACTGCCTCCTTCAAGGCATGGTTTAAAATATGTGATACTTAAGGTTTAAAATCAGAAGAGCTGTCAAAGTGCCAAACACATAGTTACATTAGATAAAAATAATTCATGCACAGTTTACAACTTATGCCATCCATTCAATTGGCACTACAATATTGTTCAACAATAAGATAAACAGGCAACTGAACTCTCTATATCACAGCATGAATCAAACTAACAACTAGGAAGACATAATACGCCTCAGCATAACACAGGACTCATTTCTTCAAATTCAAGTCACTCAAAACATAACTACTTAAATCTTTGCATTATAGCCCAAAAATTTATGGCAAAGAGGTACATAGGCTAAAGCAAAACAGAGCTTTGTTTTGCTTTACAATGCTGCATTTAGGGATAAATTAAGTTTTCACCTCTTGTACAAAGCCTTGATCAGCTTTTAAAACACGCCTGTGCAGTCTCCCACTCTACCCATTTCTAAGCTCTCAACACTACCCAACATTACCCCCTCTCAAGTTCCTAGGCTAGCAATGCAGTGTATCTGGCTTTGTAATGTGTTACTATCCTGCAAATATTGAAAATGAAATAACTTCTATATCAAGACATATTTTAAGGTTTTTAAAATTTCACAGTATGCTTTGAACTAAATGAGATACCCAAATAAAAAAGTAATAACTATTGTAGCAGCTATATTAGGTTGAACCACACCATAAAAGTAAATGGGACTCGGGCATGGTGGCCCAGGCCTGTAATCCCAGCATTCTGGGAGACAGGCAGGAGGGTGGCAAGTTCAAGTCCAGCCTGGACAACTGAGTGACTTAGTGAGATCCTGCCCCAAAGTTTAAAAAAAGGGCTGGGGATACAGCTCAGTGAAAAGTAAACTCTCAGTACCACTCCTCAAAAACAGGTATTCTTGGGTTTAGAAGTTGGTTTCCTTCCTTCCATAGACATACAAAATAATCCAACATGCAATATTATTCATGGTTATACTAGGTTAACAATATGTTAACATTATTAATTATTAATTAAATTTCTTCTATTCCATTCAAATGGTTAGCTGAAACTACTTCTTCCAATTCAATATGAATGGTATTTACTTCTTAATGTAACAATTTTAACTCCAAAACTCAATTTACTTACCTTTTTCAGGCCAGCAAAACCTTCAGATTCCAGAAAGAAAAAGGCAAAGGGCATCAGCACAAATAAACAGAGATTAGAAAAGAGAGAGGCAAGATTCCATAAACCTGGAAAGAAGATAACGAGAAGAAAATCAGATTACATACTGACAAGTCTTTTCAAGTTTTAGTGAAACTGTGATGTCAAGACCTATCCTTTAAAAAAATTGGGCACATGTTTGCAGTACATAATGATTATGTGACCATGAGGAGTTGGTACACACACATAACACATCTTAAGTCTTTTTATTTCCCCTTCCAAGATTTACTTTTGACAGTAAAAGTAAACATAAACTTGAATAATAAACAGTATTATTATAACTTAGAAATCAAATAATGATTGATTGATTGATTGATTGACTGAATGATTCAACTTTCTGACTTTGAAATTTCTATCAGGAAAAGTCAGAATAGAAAGCAGTGACTTTTCCTCATGGCCTAAAACATACTAACTAAGGAGATGACATGTGCAGAGATTCAAAGACATGGCTCTTTAGACACACAGGCACCAGAATATTTAAATCAGAGCCACCAGCCTTTATTGAGCACTTAATAAATGCCAGACACTCTGCTCGGCCTTTCACATGCATATTCCCATTTAATTTAAGCCTCATAAAAACTCTAAAAATATTAACTAGCATTTACTGAGCTTTATGTGCCAAGCACCATTCTGAGTGATTTGCAGGTCTCCCATAAACTCATTTGCTCCTCACATGGTCCCCAAGGCTGGTAGCCCTGCTCCGAAAGCAGGCAGCAGAGGCTACAACGGCAGAGCTGCCTCTCTCTATGCCTGGGATCTAGAAAACCACTACACCACAAAAGTTCCACTAAACAATTCCAAAAGGAAAGGACAAAGGAATGGAGGCAAGCAAGCTCACATGGCCATTTCCCTCTCTGGCCCATCCGATGTGCCTTTATAAAGCCACAATATATGGCCACTAACATCAGAGCAGAAGGGATAAAAGAGATGCTTAGATGTGCACTGGTAGAGTGTATGGCCCAACACTGCCCATTTTATACAGGACACCAAGTTTCAAAATGACAGCTATCATCTCTATGAAAGTTTACAAAATCATGATCCAAAGATAAAAATTACATTAAGCACAAATTCAGGGCACTGCATGCACATTAATTCAATGTTTTTAAAATGGACATCCCTTTTCTGATGGTGTTTAGAGCCCTGGAAATGCAGCTGAAGCAACCACAGCACTTTTCCCACATCACCTGTGCTAGAATCTAGGGTCTACACAGGCGCTCTCAGAGCACGAAGAGAGTCAAAACATCTCTCCCTAAGCAGTACTTCACTTACAAACTCACAGAGTTTTACAGTAGCTCCAATCCCTTTGGAATAGTGAGGCTACAAGCAATCATTGGGGCCTAAACAGTGAATTCATCAGCACTTGCATAGTTTTTAGAGAAAGATCTGCTTCTCTTGGTAGAGAAGGTTATGCAATTGATACAAGTATCACTTCTTGGCCAAAAAACTCAATGATGTAATGAATTTGTGATATGCATTTATCTTCATAAAGAAGAAAACATTTTACAGTTTTTTTTTTTTTTTTTTTGGATACTGGGGATCAAACTCATGACAACTTTGCACTTGCCAGGCAGGCACTTGTACCATTGAGCCAATCCCCTGGCCCTACAAATTTTTTAGGAAACAATAATCTTAACATCATTTAGTGCAAAACTAATTTGAACTTACTAGAATAAAAACTGTTCTAAAATAATTTTATAAAATGTTTTGGCTCTTAAAAACACAAAAATCTTAACACTTTCATCCATTTCTCTATTCACAAGGGTTATAAGTAGAGTCCATAATTTTACTGTGCCAGTACTAGGAAAGGCATATAGAGTAATGGTTAAATTTACACCCTGAGTTCAGAGACCCTGCTACATCACAAGTGCACCTTCTATAATGAAGCTCAATGACATGTCTACAAGTGTTGCCAAGTATTAAACAAAATAATATATGTACAATAACTGCAACAGTGACTGTCACAAAATCAGTCTTTAATGGTTTTCTGTTTTCACTAAGAGTTTCTCCACAGAGGTTACTAGAATACAGTTCTATCAGCTTCCATACCAAGCTTTCTATCTTTTGGAATTCCCAAGCTCACTTCCTAGTTTTGTTTTTATTTTTCTTCCCATCAGGTATATCAACTCTTAGTTTTTATTACTAGAAATTTGCAAGTGTCCATTCACTAACATCCCCTCCTGCTAGGAGGTCATGGGTTCATACATACAGCAAGGTATCCAAAGAGAGATCAGATAGGTCTGGGCCAAAGCTGTGCCCTCCAGGACCAGTTCATAAACTTTAGGGCAGGGTCTATGGCTTCCATTTTGGCTGCTTGACAGGATTTTCTCTTCTTTAGGGTTTCCAGATACATTTTCCACATGGATGAAGCATGACAATAATTAGTATTATGAATTACTACACACAAAAATCGTTATTCTTTAAGAAGTTGGGGACTATTGATATGTTGCTTTGTTTAGGCGTGGTTGAAAACAGAGATGCCAGCTTTAAGTCATTTTTGTTATAAAAAATAAAGGTGATCTTGTCAAAGATCACAATCTACATGAGATAGTGTTAATCCAATTAAATGTCGTACAGTTCTTTCACAAAACTATAAAAACATAATCTACTATTTGCTAAATACCTAACATTGCAGGTATTGTGCTGACACAGCAGAGTACCACCTGATCCTTTGTCTGCAATCTATCATTAGATATCTCTAAATATAAGTTCCACGACACAAGTACATACTTTTCTTCCTCAATTTTGATCTTCCAATGTTTGTTTTAGTACTGAGGAATCAACAGCAAGAGTTGCTGAATGTTAACAGGGCAACACTCTCCGTGGAAAAGTTCACAAGGACTATGGGAATACCCTTAGAATTAACTTCCAATTGTCAGTGCAAAATGAAGAAAATAAGTGTGCACAAAAAAATAAAAATATTAATTTGACAGCTTTATTGAGCTATAGCTCACATGAAATAAACTATGCATGACATGCTATGGCTCAGATAAAATTCAAGAGTGTCCTCCATAAAAACTCAGGTGCCGGAAGCCCACACTCCACCACAGCAATGTTGAAGCTGTGTAAACTTTAGGAAGTAGGGCCTAGGGGATTGGGGATTTAACTCAGCAGCATAAGCGCCTACCTGGCAAGCAAGAGGTCGTGAGCTCAACCCCCAGTACCACCAAAAAAAAAGAAGCAGGGCCTGGTGGGAGACAAGATTCTGAGGGTGGTGCCACCTTCTAAAAGGATGAATGCCTTTGTCATGGAAGCATATCCCACTCTAGCAGAAGTTCTTGAGATCAGGTATTACAGAAGTGTCCCATGCACGTGGCACCTTCCACATGTGGCTAGTTCCCTTTCTGCTACTCTTCTTCTGTCATCATGTGGGGGGAACCATGCCCATGGACCTCTTCAACTATGAGCTGGTAAGTGTTAGCAGAGGAACATGCCAGCAATACCATCTCCACAATCAGGTTATCTGACATGGCCATCCTCCCTGAGGTTCCTCATACCCTGCCTCCTGCCATTCCCCACCTCACCCCAACCGAAGTTAGCCACTGACTCTGCACTTTGGAAAATACATTTATATAAAATGGAAGGTACGATTTACACTCTTCTTTTTGCCTGCTTCTGTCACCAATCACGATAAGGGATTTTTCAACGTAGCACGAATCAGACTGAACTGTTACAGGGATGTACTACCTGAAAACAGTCATTAGAATTGTTCGCGACCGATTTTTTTTGGGAGGGGGTGGACACTGGGAATCAAACTCAGGACCTTGTGCTTGCCAGGCAGGCACTTGTGTCATTGTGCTATACCCCTGGCCCCCATTGTTCACCATTTGCAGTTGCTACAAACAAAGCTGTTGCCAATGCTCATATGCAAGTCTTTGTAATGGACTTTCGCTTTCATTTCTTTTGGGTAGGTATGTGAACATAGAATCATTGGGCCACATGGCAGGCATGTGTGTAACATTTTAAAAAATGGCTGCATATTTTCCAAAATGGTGTTTGGTATGCCCCTTTGAAATAGAGGTTCAGAGTTCAGCTCAGTTTTTTGCTGATCTTTCCTTAAAACTAGTAATTGTTCCCTGAAACTCCTGCAAATATCCTCCACAATTGTTTTTGTTTGATTGGTTTGGTTTGGTTTGCTTTGCTTTGCTTTGCTTTGCTTTGCTTTGGCTTTTTGGCAGGTTTGCAAGTAGCCAATCCAAAAGCATTATTCAGTTCTCCTTGCTGCTGACTAGCTACTGCCCTGTAAACCATTTCCACAGAAGCAGCAGCGTGCCCGCACCATAACAGGGTGCTACATTGTCTATAGCTATTTTGAGTGTTTTCAGTTTTGTTCTTCTTAATGTCCTAAGATCTCTAAATACCACCAACATGTACTATAGCTTCTAAGGCTTTATTAATATAGTATTTTATTAAATTTATATAACATGCATATTTAAGGTCTAAAATATAAAAATAGGGATCTATAGGCATTTTTCTGACCATATCTGAAATTTGCAGCTTTTCACAATTTGCAGTACTCTAGTAATGTAACACCCATGAATTTCAGAGGTCCACTGTACTTCGCATTCCCACCAGCAGACTTTGAGTTCATCCGCATTCTGGCTTTAGCTGTTTCAACAAATCCACCACGGTGTCTCACTGCTGCTTTAAGTGGCATTTCATAATAAAGGATGTGTAAATCTGTTCATATTTATCTGCTAACTATTTATGTCTTTTTTGGCAGAATGTCTCGGGTCTATTGCTCATTATATAAGTGAATCATTTTCTTAATGCTAAATTTGCCAAGTTCTTTTTATACTCTAAGTACAAGTCTTTTATCAAGTACGCGACCTACAGATACTTTCACCCGATCTGAGGACTCTCTTGTCTTTCAAAAAACAACATTTAATAAAATTATCAAATTTATCAATGAATCGTGATTCTGAAATCTTACCCAAATTATTGCTTATCCCAATATAACAGACTTCCTATGTTTTCTTCTATAAGTTTTGTAGTTTTAGGAATTATATTTAAGTCTATGCTCTTTTGAGTT